TGGGTGAACACTGTCTGAACAGGAACCTGCAAACTAGTCCCTGCTGATACCCCTCCTGTCAGCGGCATGCCCAGGGAAACGATCGCAACCGATGACGGGGCTACATATGGGGATACCCCTGTCACCGGTGGGACAAAAAAAGGAGGATATGGCACGGGCCAAGCACCAGGCCCGGCTGGTGATGGTGCTGCCTGAGCACACCCTGCCAGAATGGCTAGGCTCTGTGGGATATCTTGAAGGATGGTAGTCTGATGCTCCTGCATCTCTATTACTCCTAGCAGGGCCCTCCTAACTACCTTCACATCATCATCCATGTTCGTCAAGTCCATCGTTTCCAACTCCTCTATGTCAGCCCCTCTCCGCCGCATCCTGGTTCTTCTTCTAATCATCTTCTCCTTCTCCGCTTTTATCTATCCTAATGCCTGCTGTAACTGTGCCTCCTGCAGGGCTGCATGCTGGATGGTGACATCCTCTAGGGACAACACTACTGCCTGGCTTGCCATCACGCCAGTGGACTGACTCACGGTCTGCGCGACCGTTGACCCGACGATACCTGAACTGCTGGCCTGGGAAGTCTGCTGTGCAAAGGTGACCATAGCGGAAGTGGCCATGGCTGCTGTAGCAGCGGCCTTGCTAACTAAAGCCCCGCTGGCCTCGGCTGCTCTAGCTCTCCTCTGCTGCTGCTGCCTCTCCCTAAGCTGGCGGAACAGAATCCTATCACCCTCCGGTCCTAAGGACACGTGGGCTATCGGGCGTCTAGCTGATCGCAAGATCCGGTCGTCCGGTGGTGTGTCCTTCGTGTCGCTCATATGCTACAGCACTGTGCACCGTCTACACTAGGTCACTCAAGATGCCTACCGCAACAGAGTGCACAGACCAACTTAATAATTAATTGGTGACTATTCCGGAGCAAATACATTCGGGTTCTAACAGGTAAGTCCAGGTTCCTACAAACGAGACTATTTTTAGTTTGACTAGTCCGCAAACAAAAGCACCAGGAACAATAAACAGTTCTAACTAATGTTGTCTGTCAGATGTCAATGGCTGTACACCTAACTAATCAAAACATAAAATTAGAATCATTTGTGTCGATACGACAGCATGGAATTTTCTCGAACTTATCACCTGGAATCAACCCCTCCCTTAGTTCCCCCGAGTATCACTTGACGTCAGCGTCCCTGAGCAATCTGGAGAGCGTCACGTGTCTAAGGGTGTGTGTCCGGCCCACCCCTGTGCCCCGAGTATCTGCTGAGCTGGCCAGCCCTGCACTGGATTATCCTCCTGTGCAGCGAGCCTTACAACCATTGGCTGATCCAGAGGCAATTTAACGTCCGCCCCCAAGTGACTCCAGGAATTCTTTTACGTCGCAGCCGGACGACGATCACAACCAATGGTTCCCCTTCCGGTGCTTATTTAAAGACGCCCGGTCTCGTCTCCCTCAAGGGCTGGCCTGCTCAACAGTACCCATCTACAGCGCAGCAGCCGAACAAAGGACAAGCAGCAAGGCATGCGTGCTCTACTCCCTGTGGGTTGGCATGGTGACCGTAACCAAGTGCTTCGTCCAGGGCCCTTCAGAACGCTTCGCCCATCTTCTCCCGGATGCTCCACGTGAACATTGACGACTCTCAAGGTTGAGCGCACTCGACACCTCACAATGAGAGGACTCTCAAGAAGGAACACACAGAGATAATCTCACCAGATGACCAAATGGCGATTGTGATAACCAGTCACTGCATCGGCACAACCAGCATTATCTCGCCGTTCCACCTCAGCATCAATCGCACATTAGATAGTTCTCATCACATTGTCCAGACCACATTTCACCCCACGTAGCCTTCCTGGCGATCCCCTCACTTCCTGGGTTGCCAAACACTCGTCTCCACCCTCCTCACTACACACCAGTTACAGCCAAACTCGCCCAGCAGACCGCATGTATGTACCATATAAGGCAGAAGACAAGCGCCAGATGAGCGCAATCGTACCACAACTCTGATACCAAATTGCAAGGAAGATGAGCAATAGCGAACTCCAGCAATCAAACAGCCTCATACATATGAGTCCAGATAGTCTTGACCTCAAACCAACAGAAGAATTGCATCACGAGATTCACCAAATAAGAACACACCAAGAGTTCATAATTGACAATGCTAAAATAGTCCCATCACCATCAACGAAGAACCAGAGTTGATATCCTATCTGGCGCTTGGCGCCCAGACTACATGTGGYAGATCCTATCTAGCCTACACTACGATGTCGAAAGATGACGTCAACAACATTCCCGAAGTACGAGCATATGGCGMCCAATGTCGCACGCTTCCAGCACCAGGTATGTCTCTCGCCACACTCACAACCTCGTTCCCCAACACACAGATGCCACTAGCACCCAAGGACCACCCTGCGCTTCACCCAGCTTACAGCAGCGCAGCTCGGCTATGGCTGCGTGCTCCTTCCCTGCTCGCTCGTGAGAGCGTAGGCGCCAGCCAGCAAGTAGCGCAGCAGCGCTTGCGCAGCATGCAGCCAGCACCCGAATGCCGAATGAGGAGGCAGGCCCTTTCCTATATCGAAGTGGCCTGCCTGCGTCCAGTCCCAGGAAGCTTCCAGTAGGCCCCGGTAGCCTGAGGCCCAGCACGACGAGAACAGACCTTAGGCCTGAGGTGGTTGCATGTGCCCAACTGCCTTCGGCCTGTGTTTGGCCTGGTACCCGTATCCAGCCCAGGGCCTGTTTCACATACATTCACACAGGCGGCCCAGGGCCTGGGTTCACTCAACCAACTGGCGCTGCGCAACTGCCTGAATTTCCCTGAGTTGCGTGGTGGCCAGAAAAGGGCCCTGAGGGGCTTGTCGAGCCTGCCTTCACTTAGGGCAGCCGACGGGCTGCAAAAATGGGGCCTTACGGGGCTCATAGAGGCAGTGGCCTCGCAGTGCTATTCAGCCGCCTAACCTAAGCCTACCTCAACCCCCATGTCCTCTCTACTCAGTCTCTACCAGGCCTCACACCCCCAACTGCTAGGTAACAGAGTGGCACGACCCACTCCAGAATAATCCCCCACCTGCTGGACTACAGGGCGAAGCGACTAACCCCAGCTCCGACCAACGTTGTCTGAGTATCAGCTTGCCAACAGACACTGGAGTGCCTTCCACCCTCGACAACTCCCCAGATCTCTCTACCAGGCCTCTTGCCCCCGTACAGCTCAGGTTACAGGGCAGAGCGACCACGCCCCAGCACCGGCCAGCGTCATTCTGGCCTCGTCCGTTCACAAACCTCTGAATTCACGGGTGTCAGCAAACATCAGACAAGCCGCCGACATCACTGTTACATGCCCAGTTGGGCGATGTACAGAGAAACCGAGGATCCGCAATGTGATGAAAAGGACTGAATGGACAATGCAGTGCAGGCAGAATCTCAACAAGCAATGTGCATTCTAATACATACAAAATGGTGCTGAATAGCGTAGGGAAGACTTAGATACAAAGCCTGACCTGACCAGGACTGACCTCATTCACATAGTATCAGATAGCAAAGCAGAATGCTAGAATGCTAATGACTAGCCCAATCAATGTTTGAACGCAGACCAAACATACATCGTATCCATCACCAAGTGTGAAGGAGCCTGGCGCTGTACACAGGAAGAAAGCGC